GGGCCGCACACAGCCTCTCAGGGTCAGAGCTCGGTGGGCCCCCCGGGGGTGTGAGACAGAGAAGGTGCGTGTGCATGCACGCATGTGAGGCTCAGTGCACCTGGCTGTGCACATGTGACTCTGTGCGTGTGAAACAGGCAGGCATCTGTCCAGCGGAACTTCTGTGGCACTCTTGAGCTGTGCATAGCCCCCTGCTTCTGATTGTGCAAAGACCTCACGCTCTCGTCCAGACCCAAAAGCTGTGGACGGGGTTGGTGGATCCTCCCAGGGCCAAGCCCCACCTCACACTCCTCAGTCTGACCCTGGCCTCCCTCCCCAGGCCCCTCCACCCCCTCGCAGGGACCAGAAGTGTGTACCTGCCCGGCCAGTCCCACCTTGCTGCTTTCACAGGGGGGCACGCAGCGCCCCTCAGAACCTGCAACAGCCCTTCCAGGAGAGGATCCACTGGGGCTGGAGGCAGCGGCTCTCGGCCGGACACTGACTGCCCAAGGTCTCAGGGCCAGGACAGGGTGAGGTGGGGCCTCCCTCCACCCCCGACTCTGAGGGCCAAGCTCTTCCCAGTGTCTTGCGCCTCGGGGCCCAGCAGCCGCATGCAGGGGACTCATGACCATGTGCGGCACCCAGTGCCCTGGCTCTGAGCCCCCGCCGTGAGCTGCTGCCTCACGGCCTGCAAGGGACTTTCCCTTCCAGAGTCCCTGTCCTCATCGGCCAATGAGGCCAGGCCCAGGGCTCAAGGCCCGGTCGGGGAGGCGGGAAGGGGAGCTAAGCCGCATGAGGAGCTAACACATCCTGGCCCCGCGCGCACGTGGAGTGCAGGGAGCGCGTGGCTAACAGAAAGCCCCAACTCTGCAGAATACTTTACAGAGCTTTATTCTGAGCCAACATGAGTGGTCGCAGCCCAGGAAGACGCACACTCACCCAGGAAGCCGCGCAGTCACCCAGGAAGCCGCACACTCACCCAGGAAGCCACACACTCACCCAGGAAGCCGCGCAGTCACCCAGGAAGCCGCGCACTCACCCAGGAAGCCGCGCACTCACCCAGGAAGCTGCGCACTCACCCAGGAAGCCCTGAGTGGGTGGCCCTGAGACAGTCAGAACTCAAGGAGTTTCTACGTCTGTTTAGCCCAGAAAGGCACGGTGTCTTGAAGCCGGAGCTGACAGGTCATCAGTGGGGCCAGACGTGCTTTAATTTGCAATTCGTTAAAGAAGTAAAGCTTTGTCTATAAATTTGGAGTCATCAGAAAGGAATGTTCTAAGTTAAGATTAAGAGTCTTTTCACCGATACACCAGGTCACAGCAGCCTGTGGGGTGCGGGACTTGACCCTGGTCTGGCGGGGCCTTCGGTCCTGTTTAGAGTTTGTGTCTTAGGGTCACGGTGCTGGTCAGTCCTGCCTGAATCCCCACAGGGAAGCGGGGGAGTGGGTGAGGTGCGTCTGCCCTCCGTCCATCCTGACTGCGAACTCCGTTTTCAGGTTTCTCTGGAGTCCCTTTGGCCAAGAGGTGGCCTGTTCAGTTGGTGGTGGGGCTTGGGGTTTTCTTTTTATTTTACAGCACACAGCACCTTTGCAGACTGACAGCATGGCCCGCACAGTTCGGGGCACATGTCCACAGGTGTGTGACATGCCTGCGTCACAGAGCGCGCACACTTCCAGTGTGAGAATGAGGCTGTGTGTGACGCTCAGCCGCGGCGGGTCCCTGTGGTGTGTCTTCAGGCCCAGAGGCCAAGGATGACACCCGCAGTGGGAACCCGGGCTGACCATCTGACCCTGGGGCCCAATTGCCCCCCTGAAGCCCAAACAGACCCCCACACGGGCTCCCCTCTGAGCCCAAAACCCTCCACAGGTCGGGGGGTGGTGGAAGGATCTCCTGCCTCTCCGGCTAACCCCCAAGATGCTGCTGCATAAGCGAACTGTGACTGGCAGGGTTCGGCGTCTGTTCAGCCCCCAGGCAGCTGGCTTTCAGAGAGGGACCGACTTTATAAATAAAATGTATCACTGTAATGACGGCTCCTGTGACAGCAGAGGACTTTCACAGTCTCTTGGAGGTCATGGATAATTGAGAAGGGAAGGGGCGGCTTTGGTTAGTGTCCCGCGCGGCCCAGAGGTCCCCATTATCTCGGCTTCGGGGAGCAGCGAGGGCTCCAGCGTTCTGTGGTTCTCACTGGCGGAGACCAGTGTGGCCGTCACCCAGGGCTCCACCACACTCGGGGCTGGGGACGGCACCCAGGCGTCCTGTATTCTCAATGAGGGCTCTGACTCGGGGACAAGGTGACCATACATGGCCCCTTCTAAGGGCCCTGCCTCAGCCTGAGAATGACGAGCTGCAGGCTCCACGGAAGGGGCCTTGGCCTCCCACTCCGGCTGTGACCTGGGGCGGGAGCTAACTGCATCCGCAAGCTGGAAGGGCAGCGCCTCTCCAGCAGCCACATCAGGGCCAGGGAGCAGACATGGGGGCCAGGGCGTCACAGGGCACCCCCACACGCCCAGAGTCTGCTCCCTGGCCTCCCACCTCCCTCCCCACCTGAGGTCTGTGGGACCCTGAAGAGTCCCCTAAGGCAAAAATCCTCCTTTGCTTGCCTCCAGTGACGGGGAACTCACTACCTCACTGTCGGCTGTTCCTTCCATGGAGAGCTCTGCCTGGAGGGAATTCTCCCCACCAGCCTCTGTGCAGAGCAGCCTGTGCCTGTGGAGCCCCGGTCCAGGTCCCGGCTGTCACTCCGAGCATGCGTCAGCCCTGCAACCCCAAACCCACACCCTCCTCATTCCCCCATTCCCTCTCCTCCTCTCCTAGGCCCACCCTCCCGCTTCACTCCCATCAACCCCCAGGGTACTCGGGCCGAGCCCACCTGTGACCACCACATGGCAGGCCCTGCAGGGACCTGACTCCTTGTCCCTCCTGCCCTATCACTGGCACTGAGTGTACCAGTGGCCAAGGCCTGCTCCGGCGGCCTCGCCCCGCCCTGGACTCCCCTGCCACCCCCACGCTGTGCGCCCGCTGCCATCCCCAGTCCCTCTCTCCATGGCCCTCTTACCATGGTCGAGACTTGTGAGGCCTCTCATGACCCCAACGCCCACATCCCCACCCAGCGGGAGACGCTCCACCAAGCCCGCTCGGGAGGTTTCCCATGGTCACGAAGCAGCGGACCACCCGCTACAGAGACAGCCTCCCGAAGGCACGTTCCCACTGCTGCGGGAGGGGCTGGGGCTCAGGACGGCCTCGGCGGGCAGGGGGTGCAGCCCTGAGCCCCAGAGACGCCTGGAGAACCTTTGGACCAGTTTCCATCACAAGCCCTGGTGCTACAGTCAGCCCAGCCTGCAGGAATTTACCCCGGGCTGTCTGCCAGGCAGGGGAAGGGCTGGCCTCCAGGCTTCTGCACACAAGGCCACGGCCAACCCCACCCCCTGGGCCAACAGTGGCCTCTCTTGTGCCCAGACTCCTTCTGTTTCAACCAGGTCTGAACCCCACCCCCATCTCCCAGACCCACCGGCCCTTTCCCCCCTGGCCCAGATCAGCCTGGGGCCTCCACACCCCACAGCCCAAACCCTGACCCTGCCTGCTGCCGTGCATGGGGCCGTGCTGAGGCCCTTCGGGGCTCTCCCCATTCCAGCCAGACCGCGTCCAGGGAAAGCTGGGAGCCTGGGCCAGCACCACGTGGCCATGAGCAGAGTAGCCACGCTGACCAGCCCCTGCAGCCTCCGCTCCACGTACCACCCCGCCCCACCCCAGCCACCTTCCAGGACCACCCCAGGGAAAACAGCCCAGCCTGGCCAGCTCACTGGACTTCTCCAGCACTCAGGAGCGCCCGGCCACTGGGCATGCTCTGCCCTCCGGTTGAATGCCAACTGGCATCAGTCGCTGTGTCCCCAGGGCCCTGCTCAGGGTGCGTGCGCCAGAAAGATCTGGGGAGGGTGGGACATCCTTCAATCCCAGCTCACAGGGAGAGATGAGGGTGTGGCAGAGGTCACCCAGCTGAACAGTGACAGGGTGGGTGCAAACTTGGGCACCGTGTCATTGGTGTCACTGCCCGTGGGCACATGGGCCCACCTGCCAGCTGGCCCTGCCCAGCACAGGCACCGGGGACCCTCTGCGGACCTGGCAGCTCAGCACTCCCCTGGGCCGGCCTTATCTCGCCCTGCAGAGCCCAGGCTGCAGTGAGGCGCAATGGACGAGGGGAGGAGGGTGCAGCCCAGCCTTATCAGATGAGGCCAGAAATACAGCCCTGCTGGGACCTGAGCCCCAAGTGGAGCCATCAGCTCGCTGGTAAATTACCCAGAGGGAATGTCCACAGGGGCAGCCCACATAGCCTTTCCAGAGTGGGCGGTTCCCAAGGTGTGTGGGCTGGCCATCCCCTCTCCTCTGCCAATGAGAAGGGTCAGGAAGGAACTGCCCTAGAGCCCCCCAACCTTTGAAATTCTGGAGGGACAGCTCCAGTCCCAGGAAGCCGAGAATAGATGCGCAAATCGGGCACGGGCGGGAGAGGGGTCTTGTCTGGGTCCAGGACCTCAATTCTTCCTAGGAAGCCAGGTTGCCAGCAGGACCCATCAGCCTTCCTCAGTGCAGCTCCCTCAAATGGTTCAAAGCCCCACAAACCAGGCAGAGGTCTGCCCACATGTGGTGGTGCCCTCACCAGCCTCTCAGACCTGCCTTTACGTGCACCAGCAGATCGGGGGATGGCAAGGACAGGCTGCCAAGCCTGAGCCGGGACACCACCCCTGAGCGGTGTGACTCTGGGCAGGCTGCCTCACCGCTCTGAGCTGCACTTTCATCTACAAATGAGGGGCAGACTCAGCAACTGCCAGGCAGGGTGGGTGGACACCCAGCCCAGGACAGACCCCGAGAAAGGCTAGCCCCTCACCCCTGCCATCCGCACTGACCCAGACATTGCCCCCTCCTGCCAGGGCAATTCTGACGCTCGGCCGGTGGGCCCCAAAACAGCAGCATGGGACCCATTCTTTGCCTCTCCCTCTGGCAACCCCAATTCAGGACTCACAGGGGCACAGGGGCCGGGGCAGAGCGGACACTCTCTCCACCGCGGAGGCCCCCTGCTGGGTCAGGGTCTTATTGGAGGCTGGACTCTGATCACCTCCCCTCCCGCGGTCGCAGCACCCTCCCAGCTTCTCTGCCCCAATTCCAATCCACAGGTTTCTCTAAGAGCTGCGCAGCTCTGGAACCGGCCTGGGAGGGGACACATTTGAGCCAGGAGGGCGGGGAACGGCATGAAACTCTGGTGTTATCTGAAGTCCTGGTCTGTTGTCCACTGGGGGCCTGGGAAACAGCCACCCCTTCTGTTCTGAGGCCAGCGGCCTGTCCTCGGGGTCGCTGCTATTTCTGCCAAAGGGGAGAGGTAATTATAGCACCGCCACTGCCAGCTGGCCCAGCTTTGCGATCAGCAGCGAGGGCTGGAGACAGACGAAGGCCACAACACACCCAGCCGCACAGGCGGGCGGTGGCACCTCCAGACCAGAGCCCTCGCAGGAGGCCTGGGCAGGCCTGGCCCGTCCACCTGAGTGCCCTGCAGTCCTGTCTAAGGCTCAGCTCTCAAGGGCCTGGGGGGTGGGCACTACCGGCCGGGAGGGGCCAGGACCTCACTGGACCGTGCCCTGCAAAGAGGCCCCGAAGAGCCTGTTTCCATCCCTCAGGGAGCCAGGGAAGAGCCAGGTGAGTTCCAGCCCCAGGCAGAGGGGCTGACTACCTGCCTGGGTGTGAAGCTGCCACAGCAGAGATTGCCAAGGGCAGGCGCAGGTGCGGACCATGCCCCCTGTGGGCAGCAGGTGTGGGCAGAGGCTAGGCAGAGCACACGCTGATGACCCTGAGTGGCCTGGACAAGCTCGGGGTGGCCACCCTTCCCTCTTCTCCTGGGACTGACGGTTTCCCTAAAACAGAGATAGTCCCAGGCTGGTCCTGTGTCCACACTGTCTGAGGCCGGGCCGCCTCTGGGGGAAGCAGGGATCCCAGCCGATTTAAACCCAGCAGCTGGGGCGAGGGTCTCTGGCCATACAAAAGCCTCCCAGGGCACCCGACGGGTGACACAGCCTGGGCAGAGGGAGGAGGGGCCTCACTCTCAGCGAAATGCAGGGAGCCGTGTTGGGCATGAGCCCAGCCCGCCTTCCCCCCAGGGCCCTGGTGGGGGCATCCTGAGAGGGCAGGTCTACGCAGGCCAGCGCAGCAGGAATGGATTCGTGACTCCGGGGACTGGAACCTGGTTCTCAGCATTTGGGAATCCCTGAGAACAGGCTCTTTTCTGAGCCGAGTCAGAAGGAATCCCTGTCCCGACTTGTGTGGCCATGGGACCCCCACCCAGCACAGGACACCATTTCTTGGGCACCTACTGAGCTTTGCAGTGCCCTGGACAGCTGGCCAACAACCCCATTCCACGTATGGGAGGGAGGGCCTGGGGGTGCCCTGCCACGTCTGTCTGGGGCTCTCGAGGCCTATGGTGCTCCTGCACCCAGCAGACGAGCAGCCGTCACCCGGCACTGCTGCCACCCGGAGCCCAAACTGCATCTTGGGTGTGAGGGCCAGCCACCTAGGCACAGAAGGGGGCCTCAGGGGCCACCAGGCTGCTCCTGCTCCTGCTCCTTCCGGGTGGGGCCTGCGGGCACTTGAGCAAGGTCGGTGGGCAGTCAGCACAGCCAGGCGCCTCCGCACAAATTCCGTTACTTAAGTTGGGAATGAGTGTCATGTGGGCAGCTGCCAGCGTGGTTCCATGGTGAGTGCTGGGCTGGGAGCCAAGGCTTTTCCCAGGAGCCCAGACGCCCCGCCTGGCCGTGCTCTGCCTCTGCCCTGCAGAGGAAAGGCCAGCAAGGTGGGGTCCACGGTCCCCGTCCTCTTCTGCAGCCCAGGGTCAGCGGGTTAGGCCTGCAGCCAAACTACCGAGGCGCCCGGGAGAGTGAGGAGGCCCAACTCCACCTGCGCCACCAAGCCCGTGGGTGACAGGCTCCCCACGGACCCAGCTGTCCCGAGAGCAGCAAGTCGGTCAGGGCCCTCGGGGCCGCTGAGGCCACTGCTCTGTGTCACCGTAATGGAAACTTGTCAGCTGAGCCGTGAGCCGCAAGAGCTCCAGTTCACACACGCCACAGCAAGGCTGTGGCCAACGGTGGATTTCGGGTCCAGCCAGGTGGGCGAGCCACCCCGAGGTGCAGCGCTGGAGCCCAGGTGGGCAGGGGGAGAGACAGAGAGACACAGAGAGAGAGACAGAGAGACGAGTGCGTGTGTGTGCGTGCGTGCGTGCGTGTGTGTGTGTGTAAGTGGTGGGGTGGGGGCTGTGAGTCGCCAGCCTCTCCCAGGGAGGTCTCTGGCGTTGAGAAGGCTGGCCCCCATCTCCAGCCGCTGAGTGAGAGGCCCTGGGGGAGGCTGCCCCTGTGCCAGGAGGCAGGGAGCCCAGGCTCAGCCTGCGGTGGCTCAGGCCCCCGGACCCCCACACCTGGAAGCCTGTGAAGCTGCAGTGTAAACGGGCACAGCACGAGGTGAGGGCTGAGCTGGGAATGCCGGGCCACGTGCTCAGAGCCAAGGAAGGACCCTCTCTGTGTGGGGTGGGTAGGGTGTCAGGTTCTCCCTCGAGCCAGCTGCTGCATGGGGGGTCCTGCTCACCCTGAGGAGCCCTCAGTGAGGATAGAGAAACCTCAGGAGATGGGCTGTGGGTGAGAGGGCAGCGGCATGGGGCAGGCAGAGGCAGCAGCCTGGGAGGAGGTGGGAAGCCCGGTGGGTGGCGTCCTGGAGGCCCAGCAGTAGTGGGAGGGAGCCCAGTGGGTGGCATCCTGGAGACTGGGCAGGAGTGGGAGGGAGCCCAGTGGGTGGCATCCTGGAGGCCCAGCAGGAGTGGGAGGGAGCCCAGTGGGTGGCGTCCTGGAGGCTGGGCA